ATTTTGACAGAAGTCAGGCAAGTTTGTGACTCAATTAAGCAGTTCAAAAAATGTCTAATTAGAATGGATACTATGGCTGGTTTCCTCATTGGGATACGAGCTCTGACCAAACGTTTTGAACCACCTTCCAGCAGCATTGGTATGGATCTAGAGAATTATGTTAGTTATAACGAAAAATTCCATACATATTTATACCAAAAGTGGTATTCATTTATGATGTGTTATAGTCCTATAAATTCGTACAATTTTAGTTTTATGTTTCATTCGTATTTGTTTCAATTGTTAGGATAATTAGAAGAAGTTAGTCGTTTACTGTTATATTATAGATTCCCAATTGTTAATGCTCGCTGTTTAGCTTTTTTTCTTAAGAGTTTTCATGTGTTTACAAATTTTATTACTGATGGATATCCAAACATTTTTTTATCTCCTATGAGAATGCGGAAAAATATATTCATTTGTTATGCAGTGAAATAGAATTGTTAGCACTAGAAATTTTCCAGCGCTTTAAAAATTATTTATTCAACGGTGGAATTACTGCAATCTTACCACAATTTTTTATGGTTATTTATTATGATCAACAAAATGTGGAAAATTTTCCACATTTCAATGAATATTACGATTCATATACATTCAAAGCTTAGAAAAATCCAACTATAAATTAAAACACTCAAGATATCACAAATCACGATTGCAATCCGAATCATGTTTGTTAGAAAATGCACGTCATGATGAGCATGAAAAAAAATTATGGATCTTATTAAAAATAAGCCTATTCCAAGTACTTTTTAAAATTTTGAACTGGCATCTCAAGAGAATGAGAAGAAAAGCCTTTAGGGGTGCGAAGTGGCCGTGAAAATTATCTGAAGGATTCCAAGGCGGAATACTTCACGCATGACATCCACGGTGAGAAGCCCTTCAAGGTGGTTGCAACGCACGGGCGGGATCCCTACGTTGTGTTTATGATCGTTGTGATAGGTACGGAGATGGAAATAAATAAAACACACAGTTTGCTTGACCGTCCTACCATGGCGGAGGTATTTGAGATAGATTCTATCAGCTGCGATGCTTTTAAAGCTGCCCTCAGATAGTGGAATTTCTGAATCGCAGGAACCTCGGCGTTAGAGTGGATCAAAGCCAAGAATGTGTCGTGGAACCCTAGCCACTGCATATAGTCCCCGTCGAATTCAGGAAGCGAAATTGTAGGAATCTTCAACCCAGAGAGAGTGGAACTGTGCGAAGAAGTTTCAGGGATGCGAGCTTGCTGAGTGACAACAGGAAGTCTGGAGATCAAATCGGCTTTTATTCTAAAGAGCCACGGCTCAAAATCGGCACGGATACCAGCATTACTTTGCCTACCTTCTTCGCTGTCTTCGATGTCTTCTAGCTGCCCCTGCACCTCCTCCAACGTGGCCCACATGTTGTTCAGGTACTCAAGGCGAATCCGATCGCGTTGTTCGTCGAAGAAGTTCACGAACGCCTCTGCCCGACCCAGCGCGGTGATCATCGTTGCCCTCCGGGAAAGCAGTCGCCTTATCTAGCTGCAGCGGCATCTTGGAATGGGTAACACGGCACTCGATGCTCCGTAGACGAAAAAGGTCTGTCAAACAAAAAGACCACGATAGACCCGGACGAAAATGGAATGGTACTCACCAGTTCCAAGGCAAGTATGTGCCTTGAATTTCAAGAAAACTGCAAACTGGAACGGATGGCTTGGATACAATGACGGAACGGCGTCACTTGGATAACAGCTTCGATTCTTCCACAATGGCGCTAGATGGCCGAAACCGTGATGGCGGTAGTAGAAAAGCCGTGCGCCTACATAAATTTGGTGCCGAGACCAGCCGTTCGATACCCGCGGGCAACGTTTTATCGAATTTCGATGTGATTGTCCTTTCCGTTGAAATTCCGGAGAAACACTTCTTAGTGCATCAGCATCAACTCTGAGGATTCTGCTTCCCTCCCGGCTACGATAGTGTGGCCACCAAGGTAGCCATCTAGCAGAGCATGTTCGCTCTTGGCTCATCGTGAACCGCAGGATTCTTGGCCGAGAAACATGCTCAATTCAACGGCGAGTGTGTTTTCCGGATTCTTGAGCAGTTATATGTGATCACTATAGTGTCATCAGTTTATTGTACGGACGAACAATACATCGAACCAGCAAAAGAAAGATCACAACAGAAGCCGTTTCACGCAGGTTGCTTACGCTGTGGCAATATTGATGATTTATTGCCCCCGACAATGCATTGACAAATGTTTTAGAATAATTAAAGTCATTTTTTTTAATATCATGTGTACAGTATAAAACCGTTGGTTTTGGGGGGGAGTATGTTTGTGCAAACGTCCACTACCTGTGTTCCTACCCTACCAGCTGTGTGTTGTATTGTATCCCTATACACTATCAATAAATAGAGTAGTATCTCGAATACCTCCGCCATGGCAGGACGGTCAAGCAAACTGTGTCTTTTATTCATACATCCCTAAATAAACATAACGTAGGAAAAGTTCTGTCCGTGCGGCACGGAGGAAGAACCAGATCCTCCGCAAGTTGCATCTCAGAATGCACTTCCGACTCAAGAAATTGCTCTTCACTGTAGTACTTCAGCACGTTCTGATGGTTCTGTACGTAAGTCCTCAGAATCACGTCGTCTCAACCTGATACATGGTATTGTGTCTACTGAGTTTTTCCAGTATTACCAATCGTCTAGGAATTATTCTGATTCAGAAGCTATTACCTTTGTGGAAGCACGTCCCCACTCGGCATATGTACTAGCACTTCCTAGTCTTCTTAGAGCGTACACCACAACATCTAGTGTTGAAACTCTGGCTAAAGTTATTATTATTGATGCCCTCCTAAAAGGAGAGGACCGAGCTTATGCTTTAAATAATCATTAAATCTCTCAGTTCTATAGAGTCATGCGATCGACAACGATTACGATGCTCTACCGTCTTTTTCTCAAGATCTTGTTATGCGTTTCCTTCCACGCTAAATCGTGGACAGTAAAGATAAAAGTGTAGTAGTTCAGATCGCAAATAAACCTATTTTTTGAGAAGCCTTTTTCCAAGAACAAATAAAGTGTAGTGTAAAAGAGAAGGAACTTCTCTCCACCTTACCTGTGCTACTACCGGGAGGGAAACACAACATACAAACAACACAACGTAGGAAATTTCTGGGTAAGCGCCTACATAAATTTATTTCTTCGTTAACACACTACTGTACAGAAAAAAATAACTTCTCACTCAAGACTTTTATTTTGGATCTGAATTATCACACTACAAAAACGGGACTACCGTGCGCGATCATATGGTGCCGTGACATGTATGGAAATCCGTAAAAAACCTAAGATTCACTGACTCAGCGTAAACGTAAGCATAGAAAAGATTAGCAAATGAATAACCACCACACACCAAACAGGTGAGAATGTTTTCATTCGGTTATGTAAACGAATAAACATTGAAGGGCAGTGTAGCGTTCATAGAAACCTTCCAAACAAGGAAGGTAAACGGCATCAATGAACAGAACCATGCAGAGTAGCAAAATTAAAAACCAAAATAAACAAATGAAGACGCCAGAGTATATCGCTACGTTCGCTTCCTCGTACATAAAGAACAGGGGATATGACTCATGAGAGAGACTAGAATATATGCTAAGGAATTAATGAATGAACACTATGTACTAAGAATTAAGAGGAAGAAAATGTCAGCCATATGGAAAGTTCTATTAGCAGGCGGGTTCAGGTGACTTAAGAGAGGCGGTTTGGCCCGCTGAGAGCATGAGAGTACTCATAGAGAGAGAGAGGAGTTGCATACAAGTTATGGCAAGAATTGTCGCTTGCTAGATACAGGTATGATTGAGAGGAAGGTTCTAGAAAGTAGGAGAAATAAAGAGAGTATAAGTAGTAAATGGTTAAGTACATGTGAGAAAAAGGAACCACTGTATCGTTGATTCTTATATTGCATATGATCTGAGATTGAACCTTCAGTTCAATGCCTGTAAAATATCTGTCAGCGTTTATGGCGACAAACAGAAGTGTCGCATTACTAATTTATTGAACCATGCTGTTACCGAGTGTACAGCGATGGATTTCTATCTTTCCTTTTCCCGCATGGACAACGATCGCTGATTGGTGATCGTGTACATAGCATTTTTCATATCGGTGCTTCAAGTGTCTCCAGCTAGGAGTTTGTAATAAATTCGAGAAGACAATAAATTCATTCCCGCTTTAACCAGCAAAGAAAACGTATTGCTTCGTACGACCGTGAAATATCACAGTCAAGAAGTTAAAGTCCAGTAAAGACTTTACATCATATAATAAAAATAACTCTTGAAGTGAAAAGTGTTAGCTTTTTAAAAAAAAAACAAATCGGGCAAAAGAAATCCTTACTGGCGCAGCCGGTAGGATAATAGGAGTAGTGGTGTTAGAAAATTAGTAGTTTCAAAGTGATTGCCCCGACAGAAGAGACCTAGTTGGTCACGTCAAGCACAAGTTGTTAATATCAGCGAAGCAGCGACACCAACCAGAAGGAACGCACCTGATGCTACCTGCCATAACATTGTAAGTAGACATTTCATTCAATTTATATCTATTAGTGTTGTGATTTGTGATGCCGCGATCAAACGAAATTGAGCAGCTCCAGCAGCAAACTGCTGAGCTTACACGATTGGTCAACGGGCAGCCTGACCCAATCAAACAGTTATCAGAGTTCACTGGTAACAAGAAAGAGTAGCCAATTTGGCTTGACGAAACATTTAAAGTTAAAGAAAAGAAGTACTCAGCTACATCAAAGGAGCTTCTTGGTATTTATTTTGCAGCTAAAACTTTTAGACCATACTTGTACGGCAGACGCTTTACTATTTACACAGACCACGAACCACTCACTAAAGAGCTTAAAATGACCGACAAAACGGGAGGAGTAACACGACAACGCCTATACTTTGAACAGTTCGACTTCAAACTAATTTATAAAAAAAAGGAAAACAAAATATAGTTGCAGACGGATTGTTTTGAATCCAAACCACCAGAATAAAATGTACAGGAAATACTTGAAATTTGAAATTTATGGACCAGAAATAGTAAATAAATTCAAAACTCAACTACTTATACAAATATCTGATGACCAAAGAAAACGCCCTCAATTAACATGTACTATCTTTCCAGGCCAAATTAGACATGTGTTTTTCAAAAATCACCACACGGATGCGGATCTTCTAAAAATTTCAAAGAAATATCTAGATCCAGGAATAACAAATGGAATATTCACCCCCATCGAGATCGCTCAAAAATGCTCACAGCTTATAAGACAGCATTTTTTTTTCCAAAATTAAAGATCAATTTTGCAACCTAAAATTACCAGACATTATCTCTTTGCCGGTTCAACTGGAGTTTATTAGAATATGCCATAATTGTGTAGCATACTGAATTATTATTAAACAAACATCTTTGACATTTTAATAACCCGTAAAAAACCAATCAAGTTCTAATTTCACAAGCAAAACCAGCAAAATGCCGTGCAGAAAAGATACGTGTCGCGCGTATTGGTGGTCCGATTCCACAACACATGTTGAACAAATAGACTATTCAATGACGATTGGCTATCGTCTTTACAAAAGTGAGTCCAAGCTCCTCCCATAGAATAAATGTTGTGTAGAGTTAAGATTTTCAATGTAGAGTTAAGTTTGAATGTAATGAAAACTAATGAAGAAATACAATTGAAGTTGTACTCTAGACGAGTGAAGAAGTGTTTCTTCTGGAAGAGAAACTCCCGACCGTTTCAAATGTGACATGTGTATCGCACATGTTAACATATCCCAAAATTCTCAAGGACCACACTTATCGACACCCTGTAGATTTCCAACGCCATCGTACTTTTGATGACTTAAAGCCGAAGAGACGATAGAATAACAATATCAATACAAACAAACTACTTAGAAATTGATAATCATATCGCACTATCCCAGTGGCTCTACGTTGCATCGGTTGATGACTTCGATGGTGAGCAGTGTTTAACAACTTGTTCAGTTAAACTTTTTCTGCTAAAGGATGAACACTCCAGACCGTAGTCAGTCCGTCGATATTTCGGCTTTAAAATTTGTAGCATGTTTAAGTGAGATGAAAGAACTACCAGATTTAAAGTAGGACATTTTAATTTATTTTTCTTTAAAGTGTTTTCACGTTTCAACAGATTTTGTTATCAATGCTCATCCGCGTACCTTTTTACCACAAGCTGGCGACTCAGTAACCCATATAACTTACCTTTGTGATACGTTAGAAATGTTGTCAATAGATATTTTGCGACAATATACAGATTATGTTATAAATGGTAGAATCCAAGCAATTTTACCCCATTTTTTGATGGTTATTTTTTATAATCTTCCAGATTGTGAAAAGTTTTATTTTTCGAGTTATAAGCAGTATTTAAAGGAGTTTACCAATTCGATACCAAAAATCAACCCACCAATGTATAGTGCTTCGAATTTCAGTCAAACATTTGATTTAACTGAAAGTGGTGATAAGTCTTCGGAAAATGAACCCAATTGGGTACAAAGTTCAATGTCATCTAGTATATATTTGGAAAACTATGTTTGTTTCAATGAAAAATTTCACTTATATCTATACCAAAAATGGTATTCATTTATGATGTACTTCAGCCCGATAAGTGTTTATGATTTTAGTTTTAAATATCTTCCACATTTATTTCAACTATTGGGACGATTGGAGGAAGTAAGCCGTTTACTTCTTTTTTATAGCCTAATTGTAGGGCATGAAATTAAATTTCCAATAGATAATGCCCGTTGATTGGCTTTTTTTTTTTTTAATTTTCATGTATCACCAAATTTTATATCAAATGGATATCCGAATGTTTTTTTTGTCTCCGGTAAACACGGAAAAGTATATCAACTTGCTGTGTAGTGAAATAGAATTGCGTACGTTTGATGACTTAAAGCCTGACACGACAATAAACGTGTTAGGGTTTATCGAAGCTGAAATCAGGGACCGGTACATGCTGGTGTAATAGGAAATATAAATCAACCGAAAAGGTATCTTTCAAACATTCCGAATTCCACCAATCATGTTTACATTTCAAGTAGCGCAACACTGCAATCCGACGTCTTAAATTGTTTTGATCATCAAAACATAAGTATCAAATTACAAGCAACATCCATATGGTTTGTCCAAAAAACGATGAAACGTGCCGATATTCCTGGTAGACACAGAACCGGAACGACAAGTAGGGGAGTGGCTGACGGAACCAAGGTGCATCGTGATGGACGACGAGACTTACATCAAGGCGGACACAAAGCAGTTGCCGGGGCAGGAGTTTTACGTTGCCATATCACGGTTGGCCGTTCCTGAGGAGGTAAAGAAGAAGAATAAGAAGAAGAAGGTGGACAGATTCACCAAAAAGTTCTTGGTTTGGCAGCCACGACGGGTACCATCAACGGACAAATCTACCGGGACGAGTGCCTCCAGAAGCGCCTCCTACCCTTCCTGATGTCTCACGAAGGCGAGACGCTGTTTTGGCCGGATTAGGCATCCTCACACTACGCGCGGCCTGTGTTAGATTGGTACAGAGACAACAATGTTGTTTCTGTACCAAAAGACGTCAACCCACCAGACTCGCCGGAACTTCACCCGATTGAGAAGTTTTGGGGAACCATGAAGGTGTAAGGTACAAACCTTAACTTTTTCAATTTCAATTAGACATGCAAATTACGTTCCCACAAAACCGACCAAGTCATGACCAGACAAAACTATCCCACGACAATAAATTTCCCAACTACCCAACAATCCATTCCCACTGTAAAACAACATTTTCCAGAACCAATTTCCTAACACCAAAGACAACCATCATCATTTCACACTTGAGATTTCGAAAGGTTAATTTATTGCCTCAGAACGAACAAGTGACTATGACCATCCTAACTGCATACCTATCATATTCCCACCACACATGAAGAAACCAGAACGGTTGACAAAGAACGAAAACGTAAACGCTGACATCCACTCGAAGCACGCGACCGACGACAAACATTCCCACGGAATAGAAAACTCACCCACGCGACAATACAATTCTCCCTTTCGCGCGCATGAGCTTAAGCCCTCCGAGCGCACGAAAGAAAGATGCAAAATAACAACCAATTAGGATCGAGACCGATTACTCTCTCCGATACATATCCCTCTCCATTCATTAGAATGGTGAAGTACTAGATTATTTGAACAACACATTGTAAACATAAAAACCGTTTGGAATAAAGAAATTCACAGTATAGACACAGTATAGACACAGTATAGACACAGTATAGACACAGTCTAGACACAGTCTAGAGACAGTCTAGAGACAGTCTAGAGAGAGTCTTGACAAAAGTCAAAACGGAGTTTATGATATCAGTGGATGATGACAAACCCCTAAAAAGGAGAACTCAGTGAAAAAGTAGTGAAGTTAGATGTGGCCAAATGGTGCCACAAATGGTGATAAGAAAATGTCCAAATGGCGACCGTAATGATAGAGCCTGAAAGTAATCTAAGTGATTAAATTGGATTAAGAGACATGAAGTGAATGCAAAAAGCGCTACCAGTGATATATAAAAACTTTTAATTTCGACGATATGTGCGTCTGAAGTAATTGAAACTGTGACAATAAGCACCATCGCAGCTCTTGAAAAACTGTGAGAAGAAAATTGACCAAAGTGACGGTTCGAGAAACTGGAATGTTGAGTGTTGTTGAGTGAAATATATCAAAAGTGACATTGAAAATGGGTTTCTTTTCAAAAGAGCCAATTGCGCACCAAAAAGGTGACCAGCAAGTGAACGTGGCCACATCTTTGGAAACTCATACCGATTTCCATGAGAGTCACACGATTAAACTGTGGGTGCTAATCGCAGTTGCGATATGTGTATTGCTTGTGCTAATTGGCAGAATAATTAAGAAGAATATCAAAGGACAAGTTGTTCGTGCGGCACGTTCGGCAGCAACAATCGCCACGCTTGAAACAGCGTAATAATCGAGAAAAAAAATCTATAAGACATAAGAAAGTGGTTGAAGTACGCCACGTAAGAGCGTCAAAAGTGATTGCGGTTCATAAACAATTTAGGCTTCTACCTCGCCTTAAGAGGTAAACAGTGATAAAATACAAAGTAAGAATCGAAATTCAGTGGAATCCAGCAAGAAAACCAAGATCATGAGTGACAAGAAGACAAGACCAGAGGCCGCCCAGAGGAATGAAAAATCATCATCAACAGGTATTCTTTAAGGATATTTAAATTTTGTTTTGTTGGTCCAATCAATTTTATTAAAATAAGGAAAAAATAAAAATGGAAGATCCAATTTCGCAAGAACTGTGGAAACTAATTGATGAGTTTCTAGAAACCACAGTTGTTCTTAAAGAAGGCAAAGAAGAAAATTAAAGTTTTATACATTTAAGGATACAACAAAGCATTCATAGTTCAAAAAAAAAAATTGTGTAGATAAATATATTGAATATCTAATCAAAAATTTAACATACATAATGAATGACAAGGAATGGACAGAATTTTTGAATCTATTGAAAGATGTAGAGAATGGAAAGGAAACGGGACCCTTTGCACCAATTGGTACTAAAAAATTAGTAAACCCGAAAACATGGGAAGATTTGATAGCAAGAATTAATGATCTTCCTGGAGACGATCCCATTACATGGCTCCCATTAAGTAAATTATCACTTAATGAGAAACAATAGCTAATTAACATGAAATGCAATCTTATGTACAATTGCATAAACTATATCAATATTTTAAGAAAGCAGTAAACACAAAATTAAGTGTAGAATTACTGCGACAGAAGGAAAAATTAAATAATGCTTTAATAGCTAATATTGAAAATTATTTACAAGAAGAACATAACAATATAAAAGACGAAGATTTCAATACAATTGTGAAAAATACTAGATTATGGAATCTTGAAATTCAGAAGATAATAAGTCACAAATTAGAAATTATTCAATTGCATACGACTAGACACAAAACTAGTCCTACGCATTCAATAACAGGCATCGCAAAAACTACGATTTCGTACGAACACGCTCTTAAAACATTAAGAACAAAGATCACAAAAACCACCAAAATGGCAAATCAGAATCAAAACCCTTTCGACATAAAACAAGCAACGTCTATCGTACCCATGTACGACGGCTCAGCTGATGATTTAGAAGCATTCATTGATGCTTTAACATTATTAACGGAATTGACGGCAGCAAATCAGGTTGCAACCGCTGTAAAATTTGTTAAAACGAGATTAACAAAAAAGGCAAGATTAGGGCTTGGAAATAATCTAAATACACTCCAAGATATCGCTAACGATCTAAAAGCTCGCTGCAAAAGTCAGGAGAAACCGGAATCCCTGATTGCTAAACTGAAACAAATTAAAAGAAAAGGGACAACAGTTGAATTTTGTGAGGAGGTAGAAAATTTCACACTTACATAAATTAAAAAGTCTCTACATGGAACAACAAGTTCCCGAAAACGTTGCAAATTCTATGGCAACACGTGTTGGGTTAGAATCCCTTATAAACGGAATCCCATCTAATGAGACCAAAATCATATTGAAAGCAGGAAACTTCACGAACATTAAAGAAGCTATCCTCAAAGTTAATGAAAATGTCGACAGTAATAATGCCCAAGTGCTGATGACGAATACCGTCAGACAGCATCCAAATCATTATTTCAATAATAATTACCCAAACAGAAACAACCATACGTACAGACAACAAAACAGACCTCCCCAAAGGAACAATTTCCAACAAGGAAGAAATCATAATTTCAGAGGAAATGGAGATCAACGCTACTCCAATAACAATATACAACGAAATTACCAAAACAACAATGGCATACATTTCCAGCGCCAACGTTTCAATACAAACAGGCAGCAAAACGGATTTCCCGCACACGCAGCAAATCGAAACAACGAACAATTTAGAAGAGTTTATACGGGGGCAGCGGCACAGTTACCTCCTGCGCCTCAAATTAACTCGTACACAGGCACACAGCCTGAGTACCAAAGACAAAACGTGATGAGTCAAGCAAACCTGACCTGCTCACCAAATGCAAGCGTAAACCAGCTGGCACTAGGGAGCATGCAACAAATGCAGCAATATCCCCAGTACAATTTTTTAGGGGAATGCCCACACCCGTTACAGTTTGCTTGACCGTCCTGCCATGGCGGAGGTATTCGAGATAGATTCTATCAGCTGCGATGCTTCACCTTTCAAAGCTGCCCTCAGATAGTGGAATTTCTGAATCGCAGGAACCTCGGCGTTAGAGTGGATCAAAGCCAAGAATGTGTCGTGGAACCCTAGCCACTGCATATAGTCCCCGTCGAATTCAGGAAGCGAAATTGTAGGAAGCTTCAACCCAGAGAGAGTGGAACTGTGCGAAGAAGTTTCAGGGATGCGAGCTTGCTGAGTGACAACAGGAAGTCTGAAGATCAAATCGGCTTTTATTCTAAAGAGCCGCGGCTCAAAATCGGCACGGATACCAGCATTACTTTGCCTACCTTCTTCACTGTCTTCGATGTCTTCTAGCTGCCCCTGCACCTCCTCCAACGTGGCCCACATGTTGTTCAGGTACTCAAGGCGAATGGGCACCTGCATCCGATCGCGTTGTTCGTCGAAGAAGTTCACGAACGCCTCTGCCCGACCCAGCGCGGTGATCATCGTTGCCCTCCGGGAAAGCAGTCGCCTTATCTAGCTGCAGCGGCATCTTGGAATGGGTAACACGGCACTCGATGCTCCGTAGACGAAAAAGGTCTGTCAAACAAAAAGACCACGATAGACCCGGACGAAAATGGAATGGTACTCACCAGTTCCAAGGCAAGTATGTGCCTTGAATTTCAAGAAAACTGCAAACTGGAACGGATGGCTTGGATACAATGACGGAACGGCGTCACTTGGATAACAGCTTCGATTCTTCCACAATGGCGCTAGATGGCCGAAACCGTGATGGCGGTAGTAGAAAAGCCGTGCGCCTACATAAATTTGGTGCCGAGACCAGCCGTTCGATACCCGCGGGCAACGTTTTATCGAATTTCGATGTGATTGTTCTTTCCGTTGAAATTCCGGAGAAACACTTCTTAGTGCATCAGCATCAACTCTGAGGATTCTGCTTCCCTCCCAGCTACGATGGTGTGGCCACCAAGGTAGCCATCTAGCAGAGCATGTTCGCTCTTGGCTCATCGTGAACCGCAGGATTCTTGGCCGAGAAACATGCTCAATTCAACGGCGAGTGTGTTTTCCGGATTCTTGAGCAGTTATATGTGATCACTATAGTGTCATCAGTTTATTGTACGGACGAACAATACATCGAACCAGCAAAAGAAAGATCACAACAGAAGCCGTTTCACGCAGGTTGCGTACGCTGTGGCAATATTGATGATTTATTGCCCCCGACAATGCATTGACAAATGTTTTAGAATAATTAAAGTCATTTTTTTTTTAATATCATGTGTACAGTATAAAACCGTTGGTTTTGGGGGGGAGTATGTTTGTGCAAACGTCCACTACCTGTGTTCCTACCCTACCAGCTGTGTGTTGTATTGTATCCCTATACACTATCAATAAATAGAGTTGTATCTCGAATACCTCCGCCATGGCAGGACGGTCAAGCAAACTGTGTCTTTTATTCATAAATCCCTAAATAAACACAACGTAGGAAAAGTTCTGTCCGTGCGGCACGGAGGAAGAACCAGATCCTCCGCAAATTGCATCTCAGAATGCACTTCCGACTCAAGAAATTGCTCTTCACTGTAGTACTTCAGCACGTTCTGATGGTTCTGTACGTAAGTCCTCAGAATCACGTCGTCTCAACCTGATACATGGTATTGTGTCTACTGAGTTTTTCCAGTATTACCAATCGTCTAGGAATTATTCTGATTCAGAAGCTATTACCTTTGTGGAAGCACGTCTCCACTCCGCATATGTACTAGCACTTCCTAGTCTACTTAGAGCGTACACCACAACATCTAGTGTTGAAACTCTGGCTAAAGTTATTATTATTGATGCCCTCCTGAAAGGAGAGGACCGAGCTTATGCTTTAAATAATCTTTAAATCTCTCAGTTCTATAGAGTCATGCGATCGACAACGATTACGATGCTCTACCGTCTTTTTCTCAAGATCTTGTTATGCGTTTCCTTCCGCGCTAAATCGTGGACAGTAAAGATAAAAGTGTAGTAGTTCAGATCGCAAATAAACCTATTTTTTGAGAAGCCTTTTTCCAAGAACAAATAAAGTGTAGTGTAAAAGAGAAGGAACTTCTCTCCACCTTACCTGTGCTACTACCGGGAGGGAAACACAACATACAAACAACACAACGTAGGAAATTTCTGGGTAAGCGCCTACATAAATTTATTTCTTCGTTAACACACTACTGTACAGAAAAAAATAACTTCTCACTCAAGACTTTTATTTTGGATCTGAATTATCACACTACAAAAACGGGACTACCGTGCGCGATCATATGGTG